AACTGGGAATCAGAAAGGCTAGAAAGGCAACAAAAGAGTAAATCAAAGGTAAGTACGAGAAAAGAGAGATGAAATTGAAGAACGTGGTGAAGTAGAGAGGAAGGGTGAAGGAGAGAAGAACTCTCTGTTCAAGCCGTGGGTGTGGCTGAGCCTGCCGAGTTGTGGCGGACTGTGGCTAGTGTTATTTCTTGCCCGATTCGCGTCATTAATGAATCGGATTACTTTTACTTCTTCTAGCCCACTTTCACTTACTGAGTTCGAAGGTGGTGAGCTCACTGGGATAGTCCATCAGGAAATTCCAATATATCAATTACGTCAAACGACGCTTTTGTCCATCTATCTGCACCTTTCCGCCATTAGGCCAGCGCCCGCAAAACCCCATCATGTTCTGTCTACGAAGGTAAGAGAAGCAACCAACAGCAACAAGCAGCAAAGCAGGTGATTTAGACTAACCCGAATAACCTATACTGCAGCTGGCTACCTCTCCTTTTCATTCCGACCAATGCCTCCCCGCTCTTCATCATTTCGTTTGTTGCCTTGACATACATCATCCACCGGCCATGTATTTACTGCTCCGCATTGCTCCTGATTCTCTTCGTCTCGTCGTGTCATTGGTCAGACCGATGCATCTTTGACCTACGGAGTAATTGGTTTGCGCCACGCTATACCCCAGAACCTGGCGATTATGCTATCTCGGGCAACGCAACATCCGAAGCGACAGTGTCTGGCGACGGCCTGACGGAATTTGTTTTCGATACTATGAACTCCACCGCCAAAGCCTTGGCTGGTGCTGCATTGGAGGGCGTCCAGCAACGACTTTCTCCCAGTGGAATGGAGTCAAGGCCCAACGAGTGGACAGGAGTTGGGTTGGAGTGGATGCGCAGCCTCTTAGGGAGACGGGAGTGGACTCTTCCATGTGTCGATGTCAAAGTTCGACTATGAAGTTGCAAAAAAGTTTTGATTAAACATGGTTTCCTTGTTGATATATTCAAATGAACCTTTGATTTCACATACATTATTTACGATTCTTGTGTTTTCAGTTCATGTACAGGTCTCGATATCCTCCTCTCTTGAACGCTCATGAATAACCATTGTACATAACCCATTCTATACTAATCCATCGATCATTGAATGACCTATCGTTAGAGATATAGATTCTTCTGCTGTTGTAACTCAACCCTAGTGGTGACTACAAACGACATCATGCGATACTTGGCTTGAAGGGGAAGACGTTGTCAAGCCCTGGTCTAGCCCTCACCTATACGTCCCTCATACTAATATAAGTATTAACGCCGACAAAGACGAAAAGAGCAGAAATACAGCTAGCATTCCTACGGGAATGGGACTGACTGCTATGTATGCACTAACTATGACATGCAATGACAAGATCCCCAACTAGCAAGAAGCTGAGGGCCACATGGCGTTTACCGAGAAGGAGGCTTATCGTCGCCATCATTTGGGCCCGGGCAGAAACCGAGTTCAACAAGCATATCTTCAATCGCTGGAACACAAGCAACACATGAGCAGATCTAGACTCGGATCTTAGTTTCTGTCCCCAAAGCAAACTCGACGAAGGCAGAAGAATATACCTGAGTCACGGAAGTCGTCAAACATTTCTGCAGACCAGCGGGATCGCCATTGTTTATAGCATTAGCAATACACCTGAGTTCGGCCGACAAGTTGAGACAAGCAGCGAGACTACACGCATCTGGGAGATGCCGGACGATATCTAGATTATGTTGCCGCACTGTACGTATACTTTGTATTAGCACTAGCTTGCCCCAATTACAGAAGAGTTGAGCTTATGGAAAGAGATCTGTACAGGTGGTCTGGATGTGAGTATTATTGGCCACCGGAGCTGTGCCTGCAGCTGAGGCCAACCCCGAGGCGAGGACAAGAGCGGTCATATTGAAACGCATATTCAAGAACCTTTGGAGAGTATTGAAAACAAGTAACCGAGAGGGATAGGTTTGAAATTGGTATCTATTGTGTTATAAATGGACGAGCTTACGCTGTTGAATTAAATAGCTGCTTATTATATACACCGAAGTTTAGAAGTCATTCGCAGCAAAAGACATCGACAGTCATCTCTCGGCTTGAATGTCACATTGGTGGCCAATTGATAGATGGGCATATAGAGCGATGTGTAAACCAGAATGCCCAGGGGTCACACTGAGTCGCATTAGAAGGCTTGTCTTTCCCCAATGTCCATGTCGGGGTAGATAGGTGGTAGCATCAGAGACTACCTACCCTAAGAGACTAGAGGTGCGTTCCCACAAAAGCCTTCCCACGAATGATTTGGTCTAGGGATTGGGAATCGGCAGTTTCAGTCAGGGTTAATGAAATCAGGAAAGGCGAGGTAGCTAAAGACGATTATTTGACATGGTTACAACTAAGTACATGGTGAGGAGGCATCTGTCATTAAATAAAATAACGGATAAACGCCGACGAGAAGGTGGTCGACCAGTAGTTGGACTGGGAGATGGAAACTCCAGGTAAATTCATAAAACGTAGATGGGCTGGAACGAGTCACAAAGCAAGGCATGATAACCACCGTAAAGGTAAGAGATGGCAGATGAATCGTGAAACATGACTCAAGGAAATGGGGTATCACAATGTCGACAATCCCAGTTCAAGATCAAGACTCGTAAACAAGCGTGAAGAAAGGTATGTATCGCTGGGGAATAATTAGAGACGTTGAAATTCGCACGCAAGAAACCGACGAAGCAAAGTCATAGATTTGGGATGCAAATGGCATGATTATCAAATCAGTTGTAGCCACCGCCACCCACGGGCAGAGGCCAGTCGTCTTCGGTGATACTACTCCAGAAGGCCCAGACCCCGGAGACAGAAAGGAGGGTGAAGAGGGTTTCGAATAAAGCCCCATTGATCTTGCCGTCCGAGGCCTGGCACAAGTGGGTGCTGATCACATAGTTGAAGACCTGGCCAATTGCGAACAACAAGCCAGCACCGGTGAGATACACTGTTGCACCGTTAGCACATGTTTGTTTTGAGCCCAGTGTGATGTACTTACGCATTGGCCGGAACTCGCCTAGGACCCGGAGCACTAGTACGGCTTCCAGGAGGTAGAACAAGACAACGCAGATGAGTGGGAAGAGTTGGTACAGAACATAGAGGGCGATGTTGCGATTTGGTGCGTCATAGCTTGACTGGAAGCGGCCAGTCCAATCGAATCCAGTGTCCAAGGCAATATAGCCTGTCCCGATGAAGAGGGCCACTGCAGATGCGCTGATGAGACCGATGGAAGCTGCAGTGCCGTCATCAAGCAACTGGAAGCCGACAAGTGCGTTCATGAGAAGGACCCAGCAAGTAGCCGTGATCGCGGCAATGTGTACTGCAGAAAACCCCTAGATGGCTTTTGTCAGCCGAGGCCTTGAGTCTATCCTGTAGAAATCCCACCTTTCGGACTGCGTCGCTCAGCGGGAAGCCGCCTACTGTGAAGATCTCGCAGATCTCAACAATGATGAAACCGAGCAAAAACAATTGCATTTCCCTGCGCACACCACCATGTCAGCTGATATTCCCATAGAGAGCGAATATATCCCATACCTCCGGCCGACCGCAGCGTGTTTCTTGTCCGATCTCCATATCATACCCACGGTCAAGACAATGGCGATGAAGGCCAGCAGAATCGAGCCTATCAGAAATTAGCAACCGTCCTCACATTATTTGGTCCCAATGGCATCAGCCTCGTGCCTCCTATATCGTACCTAAGTTCCGAAGGTGTCTATCCCCACTGAGAGGAATGCCGGTCAGATCGCATGCGCCGAAGGCATCAGCCGCGGTTTGATTGGTGAAAAGCTGTACGCGACAAATGATACAGTCAGTTGAGAATTCCAAGCCATTGTAAGGGGGTTTCAAAAAGATCTCACTCACATTGCAGACTGGTAGGGTTGAGTCGCGACAGAAGTCCTGTGGTACCCATACGGGGGTTGCGGTCAGTATCTGCCCATTGGAGGGTCGGTCTCGAGGTACGATCTGCACTTACATGAAAGTTCCCGAATTGAGTGGACCCCATTGCGAATTGGGATCTTCAAACGAGAGATGGAAAATACGTGAGGCAATGTTGAGAAGAGACTGTTGAGACTTGGGAGTTCAAGATGGGGGGCGTCTTGACCTGCGCGCAGGACCGGTCCAGATCGGTGGATCTCTAGTGAAACCAGGTTCAGGTTGAAGTTGAAGTTGAAGTAGTAGAGTGAAACTGTGTAGCTGTGTAGTTGTGTAGCTGTGCAATGTAGAGCGTACTGTGAGGGGAAATAAGAAAGCTGATTCCTACGGGTTACTCGGGGGACTCACAGGGCTGGCGCTAGTGTGGCTTAGAAAACAAAAAAAGACCTGAACTTCCAAGTTTTCAGGTCGAATTTCGATCCAAATCGATTCAAATCGACTAAAATCGACTAAAATCCGAAATCCGATCAAAACAAATTGAAAAGAGTGGCAATGGTGGTTCCTTGGGTCCAGTCACTAATAATAGTACTCTCTTCTAGGTATTAAGTATAGAAATTGCTGTACAATATATGTAGAGAACACAGGCTCTTGTGATATTATAGATATCTGCAGATTCTCCCTCAATCCAGGATATTTGTTTTCTATTTCTTTTTATTTTTCTTCTTTTTGATAAAGTGGTTACCTCAACTACCTCAACCCTTGCCGAAGAACATATTGGTCGCCAGGTCGACCAGATGGACTCAGGTCACAATCTTAGCAAACACATACAATCTTCTGAACTTTGCATTGATAGAGTACTGGGCCATTGGGATATATTTATATTTATGCGATCATGTTATGTCCCTGCGCTGTACCGTTACTCTGTACTCTACGGAGTATTTCGCATGATACTCACGTATATGTATAAGTATACCCTTAAGAACTCGATCTAGTCCCATTGGAAATTGATTGATCCACGTCCAATTTTAACGAATAAGGCCCTTCTTCTGTAGGGGACCTCATGCAGTTTCACAAGTATTCGAACGCTCCTCTTAGCACACATCTTCGATCACCAATTTTTGCCCATCATGATCGCCCAGATCCAGCTTCAAGGTGCGCCCAAACAGCTCAAGCAGCATCTCAAAGCAGACCTTGCTAATAGCCGGATCATACCGACCCTTGCTGAGCTCATCACGGATAAAGGCATCTGAATAAGTATTTTTGTCAGCATACTTGTGATTTGACAGGGTTGAGGGAGGTGTTCAACTCACGTTGCGCCCAAGCGACTTCATAGAAACCAAATAAGACGCCCTTATCATGCAGGGTCTTGCGGATGAGATCGCGTCCCTCGGGCGGGACGTGGTTATCGTTTTTTGCCGAAGATCTAGAGATTGTATTTAGCAATTGAACCCAAATGAAAAAACAACAGAAAAGAAAGATCTTAACATACCATTAGCATCTCACCCTTGATATCCCCGGCTCTCTCCAAACTATCATCGTTCTTCCCCAGGGCAAGGGTCTTGCTGTGGATATCCGTGGCAAAGTAACACACGCTCGCCTTGACCCGGCTATCCAGCGCGCAACGATAGGCCAAGTGGCCACCAAGACACATGCCCGTGGCACCGACTTGGCCATTGCAAGTGGGCAATGAGAGCAGATAATCCACACTGAGACTAGCGTCTTCATCATAAGCGGCAAGTTTCTGATATACAGTCAGCACCGGAATTCAAGTCCAAAAAATAAAAAGATCCCTAATAAAGAACGAGAATCGAAAACGCAGTAAAGCATGTACTCATGCAAGCTGTGTTATTTCGCTTACCTTGCCAATCTTCCACGCGTTCCCTTGTCCGTGTCCTCAGCGTCGTACTTCAGAGGTTCCGGGCCAGTGAATTCATGGTAGCTCGAAGGAGCAGCACAGATGTAGCCCTGGCCTGCGATCTGGCGTGCAAAGCGTGCCACGGGTCCCGTCACTGCGGGTCTTTAGTGGAGGTGTTCGGCATGATCGCAATGGGGGACACGAACCTTGATAGATCTCGCTGAAAACTACGACTCCGGGGAAGCGGGCTTTGGGGTAGCCCGGGATTGTCGGGTGGAAGACATAGATGCCTGGTAAATCATCAGAATTGACATTATGGAGGAGCAATGGCTCTATAGAGGAGCGAAATGTGCTGTAGAGGGACCATAGTGTACATACGCATCGTTCCCTGTCCATCCGCTTTGGTGGGGACATCATGATAGGATTCTTGGATCAGCATGGTGTCTTTATTTTCTTTTCAAAGATGGTAATATACTGGAAATAAGATTGAGGAACCGATTGAAACGACCTTCCAAGGTTAAGAATACAGATGACTGAGGCACGAAAGCATTATCGATAACACACGCGGGGCAGTCATGTGCTGATACTGGCCAACTATTTCAACTCGGTCTTTATTTAGATCCGTGGATGTCTTTAGTTCTACCTATGGATGTCTTTAGTTCTACCTTCAATACATCAATTGTAGGTTAAACTGAATAGAAAATAATGTCTTCAAATATAGATGAACTTCAGAATCCAGGTGACTCGGCACAATCGTACAAAAAGTCATAAAAAGTCATAAGGTGGTTTCCAAATAAGCCAGAGGCCACACCAGAGGGTGAGATCTTGCTTCATGATCGGTGCTGGTATTAATAATCTATTCGACGTTCCAAGGGTTTGTTTTTATACACATGTTACACCAAGGTTGTTTGGCAGAATGATGGTCTAGTTAGATCCAAAGAAGAAAGATCCCCTGGGCTCCCAACTACCGAGCCCCCAATGAGTCCAAGGAAAGCAGCGGGCTGCGATTAGAAGACATACTATGATTTACGAGGTCAGCCACAGGCGCTGGGAAAGACTTCAAGGCTAAGTTACTCACAGGAATGAACAGGTAAGGCACCTGGCGTTCGTACTCGAGCCAAGTCTCGCCGTACTTAGTGCGACACCGCTGAATATCACGAAGAGCACGGTGGCTGATCATGCAAGCGAAGAAAACAGGGTAGAACCAGGGGAACGGGCTTGAGAAGCCGGTAATCAAGCCCCAATTCAGAGCGAAGTAAAGATCGCACGTGTAGTGGATTTTGCGGGCCTTGCCGTCTATGAGGTCGTTAGTATCGGAACTTGTAGATTTTTTGATATTTTGGCATAGACTTACACCACCCATCTACAAGAATCTTTGAACCATCAGCCGCAGTAAGGGTCTTAGGGTTCTCCAATGTCTGCCAAGGAAGCTGGGGGAAGGTGTTACGGGACACCATGGTACCACGCTCCTGCTGGCGGAAACGGTTTTTCTGGCTGTTGGTGGTATCCCAAACCCAGTAGACGAACAGGTAGGCGACAAAGAGGAAGGCAAGGAAGTAGCGGTTCCAGCGGTATTCAGCAGGGTCGTGGTTGGCGAGGTAAATGGTGCAGTGGCAGTAGCTCAGAGGCACACCGGCCAAGTTCCAGAAGATCAGCATGAAGCCCCACTTCTCATAGTACATATCCCTGCAAAATATTAGGAAATAATTTTGATTCTGGAGCAGGAAATACCCTTACCAGGTGGAAACAATGCACTCCTCACCCTTGGAGCAGGCATTGGCATAAAGGTAATGAGCCATGACAAGGAACATAACCTCGCCAGACACATAACCATACAACTCCCATTGGCGGGCAGCGGCGCCCATAGACAGGCCGAGCAGGATGTACCAGGGCAGGCGGACCTCGAAGAACATCTTGAAGTCGAGGATCTTGAACATGCGGGGGTTAAGCTCGGCACCCATGAAGAAGTCATAGATCGGGTAGCCAGTCATACGGTGCTCTGCGCCACGCGCCAAAGCCGAGAAGTAGGCAATGAAAGAGACGATATATCCAGAAAGGATGGCAACGCTGAGCAAGGGGCCAAACTCATCAATGATGGTGTACAGCTTGAAGACCCCAGTGACATGCGCAATGAGTGCCAATGCAATGCTGGTATAGAAAGACCACACACCAGAGCAGTAATATGGTAGCTGCTTACCACCCATGTGTGGCAGGGGGCGACCCGAGACGCTCACACCGGGAAGAAGCACGTAACACGCGCCCTCGAAGACGAAGAAAACCCAGTAGATAGTCCATGCCTTAACCGACGGGAAAGCACCGGTGTAGACCAGGTCGACCAAGTGTGCGAAAAAGTCGCCGTAACTCTGGTTCTCCGCGGGGCGAGGGAACTTGCCATCGTAGTAGGTGGCACCAATCCACATGTAGTACATGAGCATGGGGAATCCGATCATCATGGATAGCACACCCAAGGAGCCACCGAATTCAAAGTGTCCGCTATAGTCCACCTTGGGATCGAGGCCTTCCTCCCAACCGTCCACCACGCGCGATGCGGACTTGGGCTTGGGGGTGGTAGTCTTGCCATTGGTCGTGACCTTCGCAGGTGTATCATCCTCTTCAATCTTGACTTTGGCTGAAGTACGGCGACGGGAGGCGGACTTTGATCTCTCTAGGGAGGGGGAGTTGGAGACCTCACTCTCGCTACCCTCGAAGACAGAACTGTTGCGAGTGGCACGGCGGCCGCCGGGAGTCTCAATGAAGCCGGGGCGATCCATTTTTCTGGAGGAAGAAAGGATTCCAAATTAGCTTGACAAAAAAGCCTAGTATATGCAAGCCAAAAAGTTCCGGGTATTGGCAAGATATAACCCTGGAGGATTCAGGGTGTGGGTACGCCGCAACTAAGATCCGGTGGAAACTACTCACTTAGGGGTCTTCCCCGTTTGAGAGCGGGTTAAAGTCATGGTCGCTCAATCGGTAGACCAAGGTTCCGACTGCAATTGAGGGCTAAGGAGAGGCGTGACTGAGGGTAAAAAGGAGCGAGGGTGGAAAAAAAAACAGGAATGCCCTGAATGTTTACTTTGTCCGCGGGCCCCGTACTAATGGATTACATAATAAACAATTTTAAAATCACCCTATAAGCTTCCAAGACAGGCAAAATATCGGTTATGTTGAAGTTCATAATGGGGGTATTAGGGTATTTGTGTCATTCGATAGTAGTAGAGTAGTGAAAGACATTGGTAGTATATTCAAACAACATAGAAGAACATTGAAGTCGAGGTATATAGATTCCCCTTCATAGATACTAAAAGGGGGTAAATCCTTTTTTCTTTTCTTTTTCACTACAACATACAACATAGTTGCATATGTAGCACTAGCATATAGGACTACTGTAATATTTTCCCCCCCCCCACTCCATAGTCAAAGGCAATTTACCATTTAGGGAGAATTGGTGGTTGAGTATGTCATTGGGCAGCTCGCTGTCAACTGCCTATTTTGACTATTTGGTTCTTCAAGCCCTATATTGTAGATCTATGCAATTTTACCCCTTATTGTATGTTGTATGTTGTATGTCAATGTACTCCGCAGAAGATACTGTATCATGAGCTGGTTTTATTTCTTTTATTTCTTCTCCTTTTTGACTCCTGACTCTTAACTACCATTGGGGGGGGAACCTTTTCAACAGCCTTTTTTTTCCCACCCTCTTATACTCCGTACTAGTAGAAGACACCGTAAAAAAATCTGCATCTGAATTGTAAATGTAAATGTTTATTTGTTTTATTTGAATATTTCACAAAATCCAACAGTACCGGTAGGATAGCACACGGGCACAGAGAACCACAAATAATAAGACAACAGCCCGAAGAATCAGGGAAATGGTTTCATATATGATAATGCAGTGCGGTCAACAGAAATTGAGAAAAAGTGAAACAAGCGAGGCTTCGTCAAGACCTATGCCCCTCTCTGACTGCTAGTGGCCATCAAGGTGATCTTGGTTTTATTTTTCTTCTTTTTCTTACCTGCACTGGAAGATGGTCCAGGATTTAGATTTTGGTCTCCAGATGCCGTCTGAGCAAGTAGATCAGATTCCTGCTGGGCGAAGAGCTCATCTTCCCAGCCCTGCCGCCACCCGTCACTGTGTATAGCTCCTTGAGCCTCAAGGCTTGGTGACAGTGAACCCACTGCCGCTGTGCCCCAAACAGTGCGGCTACCTGGGGGGGCTGGTGGAAGGAGAAGCCAACGCTCCAAATCCAGCCGATGAGCGTGGAGGAGAGGCCGAGGAGGTGGCGGCGTCGTATAATGTGGGATCCGTGTTGTGAGGCAGTGGTTGAAAGTCATGAGCAGAGAATGGAGCTTCACTGACGCTGGCACTTCCGATGCTTGGCCGCTTGCGCCGAGCAGCAGCCCACCGTTTGTCGTCCTCCTCCTTCTCCGCGCGAATGCGATCTTTTTCTTCCCGGGCTTCTTTTTCCCGGTTACGCTTTCGACGTCTATCAGTCTCTGCGCGGAAACGCGCTAGAACTTCGGGGACAACCACGTCTCTCCAATCGCACTCCAGGAAGCTAACCTCACACCCCTGCGGAAGATGCCCGAGGTACTTCACTCGCTTGCGAAGTTCATCATCCACAATGTGGCCTGTTGATATATGCTCCACTCGCGGTAGGATGGTTGCAGGGAACAGAGAATATTCTCCAAATGCAGCCTTGAGGATGCGAATATCCAAGGAAGAGAGGTAGAACTGAGGCAACGCCTGATAGAAATGATATGGTTGATCTGGCCCGGAAGAAACTGGCGTTTGCTTGCTGCGGCCTTTCTCTTTAGCTTTGACACTGGATCCAGGATCAAGATGGACTCCGTCTAGTGAGTTAGAGAGATGATCCGCTTCATCTGATGTAGCCGGCGTCACAGTAGTGTGCTCAGAAGAGCTACTGGATGGCGTAGGAGCTACAGTGCGTTCTTTAACTGGCCGAACCTCAGGTGGATTGCCAATGCCTTTCAGCTTCTCTTTGGCATCCATGATAGAACCAATTGCTTTTCGGGTCCACGTATTCTCGTCGCCAAAGAGAAGCTCGTCTTCAACTTCCTGTTTGCGGAGGTCTTCAATCTCGGCATCATGCTGAGCGGTCATATATTCTTCGCCACCTTTCATGATTCGTGCATAGTCGGCAACTTCCGCCACATCATACCACGGAACATCCTCGTCTGGACCAAGTGTCTCAGATCCATCACGAGGCAGAGCAAGGGTGCTGCCCGGCTCTCGCTTTACGAGTCTCAATACAACATCACCGCCTTCGACGGGAAGATCGCCTTCTTGGCCACGGAACCATCTGACAGGCCGAGTCTCGGAGATATACACAGAATCCCAGCAGATAGGACATTTCTTCCAACGGTGCCGTTTTTCAGGGACCGTGTTATCATCGTCGGATGAGTGCATGTATCGGATAA